AAAAACAAACGAAATATTAATGGAAGCGTGTTCTGCCAGACGCATGTTTTAGAAGAGTCACTTTAAAAACGAACTTAGGCCAAATCTGGAATTTTCAAAAGAACAGACACAAAACTGAGACAAACTGAATCTGATATGAAGCCGCAAAAAACAAAAAAAAACCACACAAATCCTGCGAGACTGAAGCCGTGTGTCAGTCGTTCATTTTTCAAAATAAAACCAAAATTTTTTTAAATTAGAAAACTAAAAACAATGATTTTCTTCAATATTTGTCTCCAAAACCTAAAGTTTTCCTACAGATAACGGACTGAACCAGGACTAAACCAGGTCTGGGACCAGGACTGAGACCAGGACTAAGGCCGGGACTGAGGCCGGGACCAGACCGGGACTAGACCAGAACTGAGGCCGGGACCAGACCGGGACTAAGAATGGGACCAGATCAAGACTGAGACCAGGACTGAGGCCGGGACTGAGACCAGGACCAGACCGGGACCAGATCGGGACCGAGACCAGAACTGAGGCCGGGACTGAGGCCAGGACCAGATTAGGACCAGACCGTGATTGAGACCGGGACCGAGACTGGGACTGAGGCCGGGACCAGACCAGAACTGAGACCAGGACTGAGGCCGGGACCAGAGCAGAATTGAGACCAGGACTGAGGCTTGGACCAGATTGAGACTGAGACCAGGTCTGAGGCCAGGACTGAGACCGGGAACAAACCAGGACCAGCCCATGATTGAGACCGGAACTGAGACTGAGGCCAGACCAAGTCCTGGTTCAGTCCGTTATCTGTTTTTTCATTTTCGTTTTGGAGACAAATAATGTAGAAAATTGTTGTTTTTTTGTTTTCTTATTTTTGGTTTTATTTTGAAAAACAAACGAACGAGCGACACACAGATTTTATTGTTTCCACAGTGATTAACAAATCAAAACCAAATATATGCGGGAATGAAAAGTGAAGCTCAAAATGAAGCTCTTAAGTTTTAAAAAGTAGTTCTAAATAGTTCTACGAGATCTCCTCAAATCCAGGTCCGAGTCCAGTCCGAGTCCAGTCCGAGTCCAGTCCGAGTCCAGTCCGAGTCCAGTCCAGTCCAGTCCAGTCCGAGTCCGAGTCCAGTCTGAGTCCAGTCAGTCCGAGTCCAGTCCGAGTCCAGTCCGAGTCCGAGTCCAGTGAGTCCAGTCCGAGTCCAGTCCGAGTCCAGTCCAGTCGAGTCCAGTCAGTCCGAGTCCAGTCCGAGTCCAGTCCGAGTCCAGTCTGAGTCCAGTCCCAGTCCAGTCTGAGTCCAGTCCAGTCAGTCGAGTCCAGTCCAGTCCAGTCCGAGTCCAGTCCGAGTCCAGTCCGAGTCCAGTCCGAGTCCAGTCCGAGTCCAGTCCGAGTCCAGTCTGAGTCCAGTCCGAGTCCAGTCTGAGTCCAGTCCGAGTCCAGTCCGAGTCCAGTCCGAGTCCAGTCTGAGTCCAGTCTGGCCGCGTTTCTGTTTCTGTGGTGGACGAGCTCAACGTTTGTGCAATAAACCTGAATGTTCCAGCCACCGAGTCTCAGTCTCTGTTTAAACCAGAACTAAACCAGAACTAGACCAGGACTAGACCAGAACTAGACCAGGACTAGACTAGGACTAAACCAGGACTAGACCAGGACTAGACCAGAACTAAACCAGGACTAGACCAGAACTAAACCAGGACTAAACCAGAACTAAACCAGGACTAAACCAGGACGAAACCAGGTCTAAGGACCATGTAGGGCAGGTGCAGTGCGTTGTTCCCTTGACACCTGCACAGAGTGAAACACTTCAATACACGGCCACAAGGGGGCGGCCAAGTCCTGATTTAGTCCTGGTTTAGTCCTGGTTTAGTCCTGGTTTAGTTCTGGTTTAGTTCAGGTTTAGTCCTGGTTTAGTCCTGGTTTAGTCCTGGTTTAGTTCTGGTTTAGTCCTGGTTTAGTCCTGGTTTAGTTCTGGTTTAGTTCAGGTTTAGTCCTGGTTTAGTCCTGGTTTAGTTCTGGTTTAGTCCTGGTTTAGATCTGGTCTAGTCCTGGTTTAGTCCTGGTTTAGTCCTGGTTCAGACGTGGTTTAGTCCTGGTTTAGTCCTGGTTTAGTTCTGGTTCAGTCCTGGTTCAGACCTGGTTTAGTCCTGGTTTAGTTCTGGTGTAGTCCTGGTTTAGTTCTGGTTTAGTTCAGGTTTAGTCCTGGTTTAGTCCTGGTTCAGACCTGGTTTAGTCCTGGTTTAGTTCTGGTGTAGTTCTGGTTTAGTTCTGGTTTAGTTCTGGTTTAGTCCTGGTTTAGTTCTGGTGTAGTTCTGGTTTAGTCCTGGTGTAGTCCTGGTTTAGTTCTGGTTTAGTCCTGGTTTAGTCCTGGTTTAGTCCTGGTTTAGTCCTGGTTTAGTCCTGGTTTGTAGTCCTGGTTAGTTCTGGTCCTGGTTTAGTCCTGGTTAGTCCTGGTTTTAGTTCTGGTTTAGTCCTGGTTTAGTCCTGGTTTAGTTCTGGTGTAGTCCTGGTTTAGTCCTGGTTTAGGTTTTAGTCCTGGTTTAGTCCTGGTTTAGTCCTGGTTTAGTCCTGGTTTAGTTCTGGTTTAGTCTGGTTTAGTCCTGGTTTAGTCCTGGTTTAGTCCTGGTTTAGTAGTCCTGGTTTAGTCTGGTTTAGTCCTGGTTTAGTCCTGGTTTAGTCCTGTTTAGTCCTGGTTTAGTCCTGGTTTAGTCCTGGTTTATGGTTTAGTCTGGTGTAGTCCTGGTTTAGTCCTGGTTTAGTCCTGGTTTAGTCCTGGTTTAAGTCCTGGTTGGTTTAGTCTGGTCTAGGTCCTAGTTCAGTCCTGGTTTTAGTCTGGTTTAGTTCCTGGTTTAGTCCTGGTTTAGTCCTGGTTTAGTAGTTCTGGTTTAGTCCTGGTTTAGTCCTGGTTTAGTCCTGTAGTGGTTAGTCCTGGTTTAGTAGTCTGGTTTAGTCCTGGTTTAGTGGTTTAGTCCTGGTTTAGTCCTGGTTTAGTCCTGGTTTAGTCCTGGTTTAGTCCTGTTAGTGGTTAGTCCTGGTTCTGGTTAGTCCTGGTTTAGTCCTGGTTTAGTCCTGGTTATCCTGGTAGTCCTGGTTTAGTCCTGGTTTAGTTCTGGTGTAGTCCTGGTTTAGTCCTGGTGGTTAGTCCTGGTTTAGTCCTGGTGTAGTCCTGGTTTAGTCCTGGTTTAGTTCTGGTGTAGTCCTGGTTTAGTTCTGGTAGTCCTGGTTTAGTAGTTCTGGTTAGTCCTGGTTTAGTCCTGGTTTAGTAGTCCTGGTTTAGTCCTGGTTAGTCCTGGTTAGTCCTGGTTTAGTCCTGGTTTAGTTCTGGTGTAGTCCTGGTTTTAGTCCTGGTTTAGTTCTGGTTAGTCCTGGTTAGTCCTGGTTTAGTCCTGGTTTAGTCCTGGTTTAGTTCTGGTTTAGTCCTGGTTAGTCCTGGTTTAGTCCTGGTTTAGTTCTGGGTTTAGTGGTTTAGTCTGGTTTAGTCCTGGTTTAGTCCTGGTTTTAGTCCTGGTGGTTAGTCCTGGTTTAGTCCTGGTTTAGTTCTGGTGTAGTCCTGGGTGTAGTCCTGGTTTAGTCCTGGTTTTCTGGTGTAGTCCTGGTTTAGTCTGGTTAGTCTGGGTTTAGTCCTGGTAGTCTGGTGTAGTCCTGGTTTAAGTCCTGGTTTTAGTAGTCCTGGTTGTAGTCCTGGTTTAGTCCTGGTTTAGTCTGGTTTAGTCTGGTGTAGTCCTGTTTAGTCCTGTAGTTTAGTTCTGGTCTGGTTTAGTCCTGGTTTAGTCCTGGTTTAGTCTGGTTTAGTCCTGGTTTAGTTCTGGTGTAGTCCTGGTTTAGTTCTAGTCCTGTTAGTCTGGTTAGTCCTGGTTTAGTTCTGGTTAGCTGGTTTAGTCCTGGTTTAGTCTGGTGTAGTCTGGTTTAGTTTAGTCCTGGTTTAGTTCTGGTTTATTAGTCCTGGTTTGTAGTCCTGGTTTAGTTCTGTTTAGTCTGGTTAGTGTTTAGTCCTGGTTTAGTCCTGGTTTTAGTCCTGGTTTAGTTCTGGTGTTTAGTCCTGGTTTAGTTCTGGTGTAGTCCTGGTTTAGTCCTGGTTTAGTTCTCTGGTGTAGTCCTGGTTTAGTCCTAGTTTTTAGTCCTGGGTTTAGTCCTGGTTTAGTCTGGTTTAGTCCTGGTTTAGTTTGGTCTAGTCCTGGTTTAGTCCTGGTTTAGTCCTGGTTAGTCCTGGTTTAGTCCTGGTTTAGTCTGGTTTAGTTCTGGTTTAGTCTGGTTTGTAGTCCTGGTTTAGTCCTGGTTTAGTCCTGTAGTCCTGGTTAGGTTCTGGTTAGTCCTGGTTTAGTCCTGGTTTAGTCTGGTTTAGTTCTGGTTTAGTCCTTTAGTCCTGGTTTAGTCTGTAGTCCTGGTTGTTTAGTCCTGGTTTAGTCCTGGTTTAGTCCTGGTTTAGTAGTCTGGGTTTAGTAGTCCTGGTGTAGTCTGGTTTTTAGTCCTGGTTTAGTTTAGTCCTGGTTTAGTCCTGGTTTAGTTCTGGTTTAGTCCTGGTTTAGTCCTGGTTTAGTAGTCCTGGTTTAGTCCTGGTTTAGTAGTCCTGGTTTAGTCCTGGTTTAGTCCTGGTTTAGTCCTGGTTTAGTTCCTGGTTTAGTCCTGGTTTAGTCCTGGTTAGTTCTGGTTTAGTTCTGGTTTAGTCCTGGTTTAGTTTAGTCCTGTTTAGTTTAGTTTCCTGGTTTAGTCCTGGTTTAGTCCTGGTTTAGTCCTGGTTTAGTTCCTGGTTTAGTTTAGTCTGGTTTAGTTTAGTCCTGGTTTAGTTCCTGGTTTAGTCCTGGTTTAGTCCTGGTTTTAGTCCTGGTTTAGTCCTGGTTTAGTTCCTGGTTTAGTCTCTGGTTTAGTTCTGGTTTAGTCCTGGTTAGTTCTGGTTCCTGGTTTAGTCCTGGTTTAGTTCTGGTTTAGTCCTGGTTTAGTTCTGGTGTAGTTCTCTTTTTGTCCGCTCTGTGACGCTGTTGCTTCTCTGTTGGGGGGGGAGAGCCTTTGGCGCATGCGCAGTGCGTCTTGTGGGCAGCAGTTTTCCCGGAGTTCGATGAGCCCGAAATGACATAAATGTGCGGATTTTTCTGCGGATTGAACCGTAAAACGACGCACCGCGGCACCAGATCACGTACGTACATTTACAAACACGTTTCCGTCACATTTATCGTCTTTTTACGGCTGTGTTTTTGTCGGGTTTGTGGGGTTAGCCGCCGTTAGCCGCTGCTGTTGGCCGCACATGAGCTTTCCCCGCGTTCCTCCAACACTTTAGATTAAAACAGCTCCATTTGTTTCATAAACAAGATTCACACTTTTGTTTTTCTTTAGTAAAGTAATATTTACATTATTCATATTTTCTATTGTTAATCTCTGTCCAATATCCGTGTGTTTGCTTTATTTAACTAATAAATGCAGTCATGTCTGGATTTTACAGTTAGGCACAAATGGCACAAGGAAAACAATTTTCTGACACTTTAAACCGTAATTTAACCAAAAAAAAAAGGTTTTGTCATTTATTTTTATGACTCTAATCAGAACTATTGTGTAATTTAGACACGTTTTGGCCCCTTGTTTATGTTACGGTTGCTAAGTAACAAACTTCTGCTTATTGTAAAGTTTTAAACTTCATAAAAACTAGAAAAACTGGGCAATTTGTTTTTGTAATGTCATAAATTTAATCGTGGTCGTTGTGTTTTAGTTTTTCGCTGGTGAATTAAGTTTTTTTTTTTTTTAAGTCAGATGTGTGTTTGATATTTTAAAAGATTTGACCAAAAGTTTGACGCCTTCACGAAAATCTGAATTTTTAACTAATCCAAGAATAAAGACGAGCAGAAAAGAGGAGGGCCAAAAATCTGTCCTGGTCCAGTCCTGGTTTAGTCCTGGTTTAATCCCAGTTTAATACCGGTGTAGACCTGGTGTAGACCTGGTTTAGACCTGGTTTAGACCTGGTTTAATCCTGGTTCAGTCCTGGTTCAGTCCTGGCACAGTGGCTGAGTGTTTAGCACTCGTGCCTCACAGCAAGAAGTTTCGGGGTTGGATCCCCGGGTCGCCCGGGTCTTTCTGTGTGGAGTTTGTGTTTCTCTTCGTGTCTGGATGAGTTTCCTCCAATTTCCTCCATCAACCCAAAACCTGCTCCAGGTCCAAGAACAGTTGAGTCAAGGACACTTAAACACAATCAATTCAATCATTGTGTCCTTAGGCAAGACACTTCACCCACATTGCCCAGTATGAAAGTGGTGTGTGTGTGAGTGATGGTGGTGGTGGCCGATGGCGCCAAGTGGCATGGCAGCCGCGCTTCTGTCAGTCTGCCCCAGGGCAGCTGTGGCTACAACAGTAGTTTACCATCACCAGATATAGAGTGAATGAATAATGCTGAATCATGAAAAGTGCTATAGAAATTAGTGATGGGCAGATGAAGCTTCATGAAGCATTGAAGCCTTTCATCCAATCGGTTCACTCCAGTGCAAAGCTTCCTGAAGCTTCTTTTGCTCTAGTAGGACGTCTACTGGACGCAAAAAATATCAGTTGACATGAATTTGAAGTGTGTTGCATTTTGCAGAAAGCCTGTGAATAAAACTGTCAGCAAAATAAAGAAGTATGTAAAACATGTATATTGTAGTGATGTATACTGTGTGTGTATAAATATAAATATATAAATAAAACATAAATATAAATAAATAAGTATATAAATACATATATATACTGGCAGTATGGAAAATTATGAAAATGCTAATGATCATTTCCAGTGAGGTGAGGGTGGTTGGGGTTGGAGTTTGGACAGTGATTGTGCTTTTGTAATGTTGGGTGATTATGGTTCAGGGGACACATCATTGTTTTTTATTTAAAAACAACAGTTTCTCCACTTCTGTAGAAATATTACTGTACATACCTTGTTGGGAGAAATGAGATCAAAATGTTCCCACACAGGGGACATCCTCCTCTTCTTAGCTCCATTCTCTCCTGAGTCTCTCTCCTCACTCTCCTAAATCTCCAAACTCTCTCCAAATTATCTCTATTTTTCTCCAAACTATCTCTAACTCTATCTCTATCTCTAACTCTTCTCTCTAATCTCTAACTCTATCTCTAACTCTCTCTATCTCTACTCTATCTCTATCTCTAACTCTACTCTAACTCTATCTCTAACTCTATCTCTCTCTAACTCTATCTCTAACTCTATCTCTACTCTATCTCTATCTCTAATCTCTATCTCTAACTCTCTCTAATCTCTAACTCTATCTCTAACTCTATCTCTACTCTATCTCTACTCTATCTCTAACTCTATCTCTCTCTATCTCTAACTCTATCTCTAACTCTATCTCTACTCTCTAACTCTAATCTCTAACTCTAATCTCTAACTCTATCTCTAACTCTATCTCTAAATCTCTAACTCTATCTCTAATCTCTCTCTATCTCTAACTCTATCTCTAATCTCTATCTCTCTATCTCTCTCTATCTCTAACTCTATCTCTAATCTCTAACTCTAATCTCTAACTCTCTCTAACTCTATCTCTAACTCTATCTCTAACTCTATCTCTAACTCTATCTCTAACTCTATCTCTATCTCTAACTCTATCTCTAACTCTAACTCTATCTCTACTCTAACTCTATCTCTCTCTATCTCTAACTCTATCTCTAATCTCTAATCTCTAACTCTATCTCTACTCTACTCTACTCTCTATCTCTAACTCTATCTCTAACTCTATCTCTAACTCTATCTCTAACTCTATCTCTAACTCTAACTCTATCTCTAACTCTATAACTCTAACTCTATCTCTAATCTCTATCTCTAAACTCTATCTCTAATCTCTATCTCTAACTCTATCTCTAACTCTAATCTCTAACTCTAACTCTAATCTCTAACTCTATCTCTCAACTCTACTCTCTCTAACTCTAATCTCTAACTCTATCTCTAACTCTATCTCTAACTCTATATCTCTAACTCTATCTCTAACTCTAATCTCTAACTCTATCTCTCTAACTCTATCTCTAACTCTACTCTCTCTAATCTCTAACTCTATCTCTAATCTCTATCTCTAAACTCTCTATCTCTAACTCTATCTCTAACTCTATCTCTAACTCTATCTCTAACTCTATCTCTAACTCTATCTCTAACTCTATCTCTAACTCTACTCTCTCTAACTCTATCTCTAACTCTATCTCTAACTCTATCTCTAACTCTATCTCTAACTCTATCTCTAACTCTATCTCTAACTCTATCTCTAACTCTAACTCTCTCTATCTCTAATCTCTAACTCTATCTCTAACTCTATCTCTAACTCTATCTCTAACTCTATCTCTAACTCTATCTCTATCTCTATCTCTAACTCTATCTCTAACTCTATCTCTATCTCTATCTCTAACTCTATCTCTAACTCTATCTCTAACTCTATCTCTAACTCTAACTCTATCTCTAACTCTGTCTCTAACTCTGTCTCTAACTCTATCTCTAACTCTATCTCTAACTCTATCTCTAACTCTATCTCTAATCTCTAACTCTATCTCTAACTCTATCTCTAACTCTATCTCTAACTCTATCTCTAATCTCTAACTCTCTCTCTCTAATCTCTAACTCTATCTCTAACTCTGTCTCTAACTCTATCTCTAACTCTAATCTCTAACTCTATCTCTAACTCTGTCTCTATCTCTAACTCTAATCTAACTCTCTCTAACTCTATCTCTAACTCTCTCTCTACTCTAACTCTATCTCTAACTCTATCTCTAACTCTAACTCTATCTCTAACTCTACTCTATCTCTAACTCTATCTCTAATCTCTAACTCTCTCTAACTCTATCTCTAACTCTATCTCTAACTCTATCTCTAACTCTAACTCTCTCTAACTATATCTCTAACTCTATCTCTAACTCTATCTCTAACTCTATCTCTAACTCTATCTCTAACTCTATCTCTAACTCTATCTCTAACTCTATCTCTAACTCTATCTCTAACTCTATCTCTAACTCTATCTCTAACTCTATCTCTATCTCTAACTCTATCTCTAACTCTATCTCTAACTCTATCTCTAACTCTATCTCTAATCTCTAACTCTATCTCTAACTCTTCTCTATCTCTAACTCTAATCTCTAATCTCTAACTCTATCTCTAACTCTAACTCTATCTCTAACTCTATCTCTAACTCTGTCTCTAACTCTATCTCTAACTCTATCTCTAACTCTATCTCTAACTCTATCTCTAATCTCTAACTCTATCTCTAACTCTATCTCTAACTCTATCTCTAACTCTATCTCTAACTCTATCTCTAACTCTAATCTCTAACTCTATCTCTAACTCTAACTCTATCTCTAACTCTATCTCTATCTCTAACTCTATCTCTAACTCTATCTCTAACTCTAACTCTATCTCTAACTCTATCTCTATCTCTAACTCTCTATCTCTAACTCTATCTCTCTCTAACTCTATCTCTAACTCTATCTCTAACTCTATCTCTAACTCTATCTCTAACTCTAACTCTAATCTCTAACTCTATCTCTAACTCTACTCTATCTCTAACTCTATCTCTAACTCTATCTCTAACTCTATCTCTACTCTATCTCTAACTCTATCTCTAACTCTACTCTAACTCTATCTCTAACTCTATCTCTCTCTATCTCTAACTCTAACTCTAATCTCTAACTCTAATCTCTAACTCTATCTCTAACTCTATCTCTCTCTAACTCTAACTCTATCTCTAACTCTATCTCTAATCTCTAACTCTAACTCTATCTCTAATCTCTATAACTCTATCTCTAACTCTAACTCTATCTCTAACTCTATCTCTAACTCTATCTCTAACTCTATCTCTAACTCTATCTCTAACTCTAATCTCTAACTCTATCTCTAACTCTATCTCTAATCTCTAACTCTATCTCTAACTCTATCTCTAACTCTATCTCTAACTCTATCTCTAACTCTATCTCTAACTCTATCTCTAACTCTATCTCTAACTCTATCTCTAACTCTATCTCTCTATCTCTAACTCTATCTCTAACTCTATCTCTAACTCTAACTCTATCTCTAACTCTACTCTATCTCTAAACTCTAATCTCTAACTCTATCTCTAACTCTATCTCTAACTCTATCTCTCTATCTCTAATCTCTATCTCTAACTCTAACTCTCTATCTCTAACTCTCTATCTCTAACTCTATCTCTAACTCTATCTCTAACTCTATCTCTAACTCTAATCTCTAATCTCTAACTCTTCTCTAATCTCTACTCTCTAACTCTATTCTCTAATCTCTACTCTCTCTATCTACTCTCTAACTCATCTCTAACTCTAACTCTTCTCTAACTCTAATCTCTAACTCTATCTCTAACTCTATCTAACTCTATCTCTAACTCTCTAACTCTCTAACTCTATCTAACTCTATCTCTACTCTATCTCTCTCTCTATCTCTAACTCTATCTCTAAACTCTAACTCTCTAATCTCTAACTCTATCTCTAACTCTCTCTCTCTATCTCTAACTCTATCTCTAACTCTATCTCTAAACTCTATCTCTAACTCTATCTCTAACTCTCTCTCTCTCTAACTCTATCTCTAACTCTATCTCTACTCTATCTCTAACTACTCTCTCTACTCTATCTCTAACTCTATCTCTAACTCTGCTCTAACTCTATCTCTAACTCTATCTCTAATCTCTAACTCTATCTCTAACTCTATCTCTATCTCTAACTCTATCTCTAACTCTGTCTAACTCTAATCTCTAACTCTACTCTCTCTAACTCTACTCTATCTCTAACTCTATCTCTAATCTCTAACTCTATCTCTAACTCTATCTCTAACTCTATCTCTAACTCTATCTCTAACTCTATCTCTAACTCTATCTCTAACTCTATCTCTAACTCTATCTCTAACTCTATCTCTAACTCTATCCAAAATGTCTCCAAACTTCCAAACTCTCACTGATCTCAAATCTCCATCAAACACCCACATTTTGAATGAAGCCTGAGGTTTATTTCGCTGTCAAAACTCGCGGCAAAACCTGAACCACTTCCTGAATCAGTCACATGGTGCAGCTCCTCCCCTAAACGAATCAAGCCTCGATACGAAACGTCACATCACTAATAGAAATAAAGACGTACTTACTGGTCTAGACCTGGTCCAGTCCAGGTTTAGTCCAGGTCTAGTCCTGGTTTAGACCTGGTTTAGTCCTGGTCTTGTCCTGGTTTAGTCCTGGTCCAGTCCAGGTTTAATCCTGGTCCAGTCCAGGTTTAGTCCAGGTTTAGTCCAGGTTTAGTCCTGGTCTAGTCCTGGTTTAGTCCTGGTCCAGTCCTGGTTTAGTCCTGGTCCAGTCCAGGTTTAGTCCTGGTCTAGTCCTGGTCTAGTCCTGGTTTAGTCCTGGTTTAGACCTGGTTTAGTCCTGGTCCAGTCCAGGTTTAGTCCTGGTCCAGTCCAGGTTTAGTCCTGGTCCAGTCCTGGTCTAGTCCAGGTTTAGTCCTGGTCTAGTCCTGGTTTAGTCCTGGTTTAGTCCTGGTAGTCCTGGTTTAGTCCTGGTCCAGTCCTGGTTTAGTCCTGGTCCAGTCCAGGTTTAATCCTGGTCCAGTCCAGGTTTAGTCCTGGTCTAGTCCTGGTCCAGTCCTGGTTTAGTCCTGGTCCAGTCCTGGTTTAGTCCTGGTCCAGTCCAGGTTTAGTCCTGGTCTAGTCCTGGTCTAGTCCTGGTTTAGTCCTGGTTTAGACCTGGTTTAGTCCTGGTCCAGTCCAGGTTTAGTCCTGGTCCAGTCCTGGTCTAGTCCTGGTCTAGTCCTGGTCCAGTCCTGGTTTAGTCCTGGTCCAGTCCTGGTTTAGTCCTGGTCCAGTCCAGGTTTAGTCCTGGTCTAGTCCTGGTCTAGTCCTGGTTTAGTCCTGGTTTAGTCCTGGTTTAGTCCTGGTCCAGTCCAGGTTTAGTCCTGGTCCAGTCCAGGTTTAGTCCTGGTCCAGTCCTGGTCTAGTCCTGGTCTAGTCCTGGTCTAGTCCTGGTCTAGTCCTGGTTTAGACCTGGTTTAGTCCTGGTCCAGTCCAGGTTTAGTCCTGGTCCAGTCCAGGTTTAGTCCTGGTCCAGTCCTGGTCTAGTCCTGGTCTAGTCCTGGTCTAGTCCTGGTTTAGTCCTGGTCCAGTCCAGGTTTAGTCCTGGTCCAGTCCAGGTTTAGTCCTGGTCTAGTCCTGGTCTAGTCCTGGTTTAGACCTGGTTTAGTCCTGGTCCAGTCCAGGTTTAGTCCTGGTCCAGTCCAGGTTTAGTCCTGGTCTAGTCCTGGGTTAGACCTGGTTTAACGGTGTGTTTTTGTCCTCAGATGGAGTCTTGCGTCTCGTCCCTCGTGTCTCTTCTGTCTCCGGGTCTGGCTGTAGGACCGTCTCTGTCCTGTGGGGGCGCTCTCGGGCTCTGGTGGGTGGGGCTTCCTCTGGAGGCGGGCTCTGAGCTGCCGAGTGGGCGGGACTTACCGCAGGACCTGACCAATCAGACGGTGAGACTGAAAACTGTGGTTAAATCAGGTTTGGTGTTGTGGGACTGGAGCAGGACTGTGGACCTTTAGTCCTTTAGACTTTTCAGAGACCAACAGATTTAATGAGTGTATTTTTTGGACCATGAGTCGCTCCGGAGTCTGAGCCGAATAAAACAAAAAATATTTAGAAGAATAAAAAATAAAGGGAGAGAGACAAAAACACAACAAAGCCGCATTTTTTGGATGAAATTTATTTTATAAAATCAGAGAGCAGGAGAATCTGTGTGTCGTTTGTTTATTTTTCAAAATAAATCCAAAAATAAGAAAATGAAAAAAATCAACAGTTTTCTTCATTATGAAAATGAAAAAACAGATAATGATTCTTTTTTTCAGTTTTCAAGTTTGTGTTTAAATGAAAAATGGAAAAAAAACAGATAACGACCGTTTCCCGTTAAGTGACTTCAGTGACTGTGATGCCGAACTGAACCAGGACTGAGCCCGGGACCGGGACTAGAGTGGGACCAGACCGGGACCAGAGCAGGGCCTCAGCTTCGAGCTCCGGCCTGGTCCCGGTCTGGTCTTGGTCTGATCCCGGTGGGGTCTCAGTCTCGGTCTGGTCTTGGTCTGGTCTCGGTCCCTCTCTGGTCAAGGTCTGGTCCCAGTCCGGTACCAGACCTGGATCAGTCCTGGTTCAGTCCGACATCACAGTCACTGAAGTCACTTAACGGGAAACGGTCGTTATCTGTTTTTTTCCATTTTTCATTTAAACATAAAATCGAAAACTGAAAAATCGAATCATTATCTGTTTTTACATTTTGGTTTTGGAGACAAATCATGAAAAAAAAATTTTGTTTTTTCATTTTCTTATTTTTGGTTTTATATTGAAAACAAATGAACGACACACAGATTCAGGAGCAGATATTTCCTGTGTAAAGTCGAGTTGTAGTAAAAACAACAGAAGAGAAGAACAGACGTGAACGTCACAGAAACATAAACAACAGAAGAAGTTGAACAAACTCTCCATCTCACTCCAGATCTAAAACAGAACTAAACCAGGATTTAACCAGGTCTGAACCAGCACTAAAACAGGTCTAAAACCAGGACTAAACCAGGTCTAAAACCAGGTCTAAACCAGGACTAAACCAGGACTAAACCAGGTCTAAACCAGGTCTAAAAACCAGGACTAAACCAGGACTAAACCAGGTCTAAAACCAGGACTAAACCAGGACTAAACCAGGTCTAAACCAGGACTAAACCAGGTCTAAACCAGGTCTAAACCAGGACTAAACCAGGACTAAACCAGGACTAAACCAGGTCTAAACCAGGTCTAAACCAGGACTAAACCAGGATCTAAAACCAGGTCTAAACCAGGACTAAAACCAGGTCTAAACCAGGTCTAAACCAGGACTAAACCAGGACTAAACCAGGTCTAAACCAGGATTAAACCGGGTCTAAACCAGGTCTAAACCAGGACTAAACCAGGTCTAAACCAGGACTAAACCAGGACTAAACCAGGACTAAACCAGGTCTAAACCAGGTCTAAACAGGTCTAAACCAGGTCTAAACCAGGACTAAACCAGGACTAAACCAGGATTAAACCAGGTCTAAACCAGGTCTAAACCAGGTCTAAACCAGGTCTAAACCAGGACTAAAACCAGGACTAAACCAGGACTAAACCCAGGACTAAACCAGGTCTAAAACCAGGATTAAACCAGGTCTAAAACCAGGACCAAACCAGATCTAAACCAGATCTAAACCAGGTCTAAACCAGGTCTAAACCAGGACTAAACCAGGACTAAACCAGGACTAAACCAGGACTAAACCAGGACTAAACCAGGACTAAACCAGGACTAAACCAGGACTAAACCAGGATCTAAACCAGGACTAAACCAGGACTAAACCAGGACTAAACCAGGTCTAAACCAGGACTAAACCAGGACTAAACCAGGTCTAAACCAGGACTAAACCAGGACTAAAACCAGGACTAAAACCAGGTCTAAAACCAGGACTAAACCAGGACTAAACCAGGACTAAACCAGGACTAAACCAGGTCTAAACCAGATCTAAACCAGATCTAAACCAGATCTAAACCAGGTCTAAACCAGGACTAAAACCAGGACTAAACCAGGACCAGGACTAAACCAGGACTAAACCAGGTCTAAACCAGGTCTAAACCAGGTCTAAACCAGGACTAAAACCAGGACTAAACCAGGACTAAAGACTAAACCAGGTCTAAAACCAGGACTAAACCAGGTCTAAAATCAGGACTAATCCAGGTCTAAACCAGGACTAAACCAGGACTAAAACCAGGATAAACCAGGACTAAAACCAGGACTAAAAACCAGGTCTAAAACCAGGTCTAAAACCAGGACTAAAACTAAACCAGGACTAAACCAGGAGGTCTAAACCAGGTCTAAACCAGGTCTAAACCAGGACTAAACCAACTAAACCAGGACTAAAACCAGGACTAAAACCAGGTCTAAAACCAGGTCTAAAATCAGGACTAATCCAGGACTAATCCAGGTCTAAACCAGGACTAAACCAGGACTAAACCAGACTAAACCAGACTAAAACCAGGACTAAAACCAGGACTAAAACCAGGACTAAACCAGGTCTAAAAACCAGGTCTAAAACCAGGTCTAAACCAGGACTAAAACCAGGTCTAAAATCCAGGTCTAAAATCAGGACTAATCCAGGTCTAAACCAGGACTAAACCAGGACTAAAACCAGGACTAAAACCAGGTCTAAAACCAGGTCTAAAATCAGGACTAAACCAGGTCTAAACCAGGTCTAAACCAGATCTAAAGCAGATCTAAACCAGGTCTAAATCAGGTGTAACTCGGCCTCGACCTCCGGAGGTAAACGTTGCGTCTCTTCTTCTTCTGCGTCGCTGTCGTCAGACTCGGCGTCAGTTCCAGTTAGAATTTTTCGGGTCTTTCTGAATCTCGACAGGATGGTTTCGGTGTCACTGAAGTCCAGACTTTGTCCGTCCATCCAGCGACTTCAGGAAAGTTTCATGGTGCATCCTCCACAAGTCACAAGTTTCTCTCTCCAAACTTTCTTTCTGCTGCTCCATTTCAGTTTTCAGATGCAGATTTCACGATTCGCAGTTTGTAAATCTGCAGAATCTGATTTTGTTTTTGGGGCGTTTGTGTTCAGTCTCTCAGTCTTTGTCTTTATAAGTTTAAAGTTTAAATGTTAAATTGTTCAGTGATGCAGAAGTCCTGGTTTAGTCCTGGTTTAGTCCTGGTTTAGTCCTGGTTTAGTCCTGGTTTAGTCCTGGTTTAGTCCTGGTTTTAGTCCTGGTTTTAGTCCTGGTTTAGACCTGGTTTAGTCCTGGTTTAGATCTGGTTTAGTCCTGGTTTAGTCCTGGTTTAGTCCTGGTTTAGTCCTGGTTTAGTCCTGATTTAGTCCTGGTTTTAGGCCTGGTTTAGATCTGGTTTAGTCCTGGTTTAGACCTGGTTTAGACCTGGTTTAGTCCTGGTTTAGTCCTGGTTTAGATCTGGTTTAGTCCTGGTTTAGTCCTGGTTTAGACCTGGTTTAGACCTGGTTTAGATCTGGTTTAGATCTGGTTTAGATCTGGTTTGGTCCTGGTTTAGTCCTGGTTTTAGGCCTGGTTTAGTCCTGGTTTAGTCCTGGTTTAGACCTGGTTTAGTCCTGGTTTAGATCTGGTTTAGATCTGGTTTAGATCTGGTTTGGTCCTGGTTTAGTCCTGGTTTTAGGCCTGGTTTAGTCCTGGTTTAGTCCTGGTTTAGACCTGGTTTAGATCTGGTTTAGATCTGGTTTAGATCTGGTTTGGTCCTGGTTTAGTCCTGGTTTTAGGCCTGGTTTAGTCCTGGTTTAGTCCTGGTTTTAGTTCTGGTTCAGTCCTGGTTTAGTTCTGGTTTAGTCCTGGTTTAGTCCTGGTTTAGTCCTGGTTTAGTCCTGGGTTAGTTCTGGTTTAGTCCTGGTTTAGTTCTGGTTTAGTCCTGGTTTAGTCCTGGTTTAGTTCTGGTTTAGTCCTGGTTTAGTCTGGTTTAGTTCTGGTTAGTCCTGGTTTAGTCCTGGTTTAGTCCTGGTTTAGTTCTGGTTCAGTCCTGGTTTAGTCCTGGTTTAGTTCTGGTTTAGTTCTGGTTTAGTCCTGGTTTAGACCTGGTTTAGTCCTGGTTTAGATCTGGTTTAGATCTGGTTTAGATCTGGTTTGGTCCTGGTTTAGTCCTGGTTTTAGGCCTGGTTTAGTCCTGGTTTAGTCCTGGTTTAGTCCTGGTTTAGATCTGGTTTAGATCTGGTTTAGATCTGGTTTGGTCCTGGTTTAGTCCTGGTTTTAGGCCTGGTTTAGTTCTGGTTTAGTCCTGGTTTAGACCTGGTTTAGATCTGGTTTAGATCTGGTTTAGATCTGGTTTGGTCCTGGTTTAGTCCTGGTTTTAGGCCTGGTTTAGTCCTGGTTTAGTCCTGGTTTAGTTCTGGTTCAGTCCTGGTTTAGTTCTGGTTCAGTCCTGGTTTAGTCCTGGTTTAGTCCTGGTTTAGTCCTGGTTTAGTTCTGGTTCAGTTCTGGTTTAGTTCTGGTTTAGTCCTGGTTTAGTCTGGTTTAGTTCTGGTTCAGTCCTGGTTTAGTCCTGGTTTAGTCCTGGTTTAGTTCTGGTTTAGTCCTGGTTTAGTCCTGGTTTAGTCCTGGTTTAGTCCTGGTTTAGTTCTGGTTTAGTCTGGTTTAGTTCTGGTTCAGTCCTGGTTTAGTCCTGGTTTAGTTCTGGTTTAGTTCTGGTTCAGTCCTGGTTTAGTCCTGGTTTAGTTCTGGTTTAGTTCTGGTTTAGTCCTGGTTTAGTCCTGGTTTAGTTCTGGTTTAGTCCTGGTTTAGTTCTGGTTAGTCCTGGTTTAGTCCTGGTTTAGTTCTGGTTCCTGGTTAGTCCTGGTTTAGTCCTGGTTTAGTTCTGGTTTAGTCCTGGTTTAGTTCTGGTTCAGTCCTGGTTTAGTCCTGGTTTAGTCTGGTTCAGTCCTGGTTTAGTTCTGGTTTAGTCCTGGTTTAGTTCTGGTTTAGTTCTGGTTTAGTCCTGGTTTAGTCCTGGTGCAGTTCTGGTTTAGTCCTGGTGCAGTTCTGTTCTTGTCCACTCGGTGTCGCTGTTGTTTTTCTTTTTGGAGCTGTTTTATTTCCAGGTTTGGAATAGAAATTTATTTATGGGCAAAATAGAGAAATAAAAAGTTAGTATGAACTTTTTAAGACCAAAATGACGAGGCTCACAAATCTGTGTGTCGTTCGTTCATTTGTTTTTCAATATAAAACCAAAAATAAAACGAAAAGAACAGCAGTTTTCTTCATTATTTGTCTCCAAAACCAAAATAAAAAAACATAACGATTCATTTTTTCAGTTTCCGATTTTGTGTTTAAATGAAAAATGGAAAAAACTAATAATGACCGTTTCCCGTTTATGTGACTTCAGTGACTGTGATGTCGGACTGAACCAGGACTGATCCAGGTCCAGGACCAGACCGGGACCAGAGTGGACTCCGAGCTTTGACTCTGAGCCTCCGCAGGGTCTGAGCCTCAGCTTTGAGCTCCGGCCCTGCTGTGGGCTCTGAGCCTCCGGTCTGGTCCCGGTCTAGTCTCAGTCCCGGTCTCAGTCCCGGCCTGGTCCCAGTTTAGTCTCGGTCCCAGTCTAGTCTTGGTCTCAGTCCCGGCTTGGTCCCAGTCTAGTCTCAGGGTGTTTTCACACCGACAGTATTTGGTGCGCACCAAACGGTCCATTCGAACCAAAAGTGGTTAGTTCGGTTCGTTTGCGTTGGTGTGAAAGCGTCAATCGGACTCGGACCCGAACCAAATCAAGCGAACCGAGACCTCAAAAAAGAGGTGGTCTCGGTTCGCTTGAATCCGCACCAAATGACCAACTTTGGTGCGGTTCCTCTGGTGTGAACGCGAACCCGGGTCCAAACCATAGACACTATGGACAAACAGACTATTCCAAATGCATCATGGGGGGGACACGCGTCTCCTCTGCCTGAAATGACGCTGTACGACTCCAGCGCAGTAACAGATTGTTGTCCAGACGCAGAAGCGATTCATTTTCGAATTATTTTACCAACAATGGGCAATACAGAGAATGTAACACACGAAGATCAGAGCAAGAACCAGTGTGCGAACGTGTGGCTCCAGAGTGAGTCAAAATTGGGGGTGCGTCCCCCTGTTCAGGACCTACACACACAGAGACGACCCGGTGTTCCCCGTGATCACGCAGCAACCAACATTTGTTATTTTAGGCTTTAATTAACCAAATCATTTTATGGCAATAGGCAATCGCCCATTCAATTGATACAACTTAAAAAAGTCCCTGTTTTTAGCCTAGTGTGAGAAATACAGTCGGACTAGATCCAAACCAGAGTCCTGAACCAGTGGGGGCAGGTCCGGTTCAGTCCGGGCTCAGAGGAGCTGGAGCGGGGAGCCTCGACCTGAGGAAGCGCTTTCCCCGGGAAGAACCAAATGCGCGGAGGACGGACGCTCAGAACAACATATAACAAACCAAACTGGACTCACGCTTCTGTCCGGATGCTGCACCACCTCGGAACCAGCCGCGGTTCTTGAGCGCGGAGGACCAGAGCAGCGCCCGGACCTGTAGTCCACAGCACATTCTCGCTTTCCCCGCACGGAACCAGCGCGCAGACGACTGAACGTTCCCGCTCAGACCCAGTCATTGCGCACTGGTCTTGCTCGCCACCGTTTGGAACCAGCATATGGAGGATGGAGCCTCCGGACCATCTGACCAACGCTTGTAGGACGACAGAAGACCAAGGACCAGACCCCAGCCCCGTCCTGAGGAGCTGTTGGCTGCTGCTGTTACCCGAACTCTGAGGCTGATGTGCGGTGAGTTTGTACAAAGTTCTACATGTTGCTGTTTTATGAGTTCATGGTGATTGAGATGAGGACGGCCCGCGGTATTAACAGGAACATCGGTGTTGATAACTGGAGTATCGCTGTTTTACCGGGGAAACAGAGACACGTCAATCGAACCACTTTTGGTTCGTTTGCCGGTGTGAACGCGGACACACTGGAGTGTATTTGCTACATAATAACAATTTTATTGCCTGGTGCGGACCAAATAATCGAACTAGCGGTGTGAAAACGACCTCAGTCTCGTCCCGGTCTGGTCTCAGTCTAGTCTCGGTCTCAGTCTAGTCTCGGTCTCAGTCCCGGTCTCGGTCTCAGTCTAGTCTTGGGTCCAGACTGGGTCTGAGAACAGGACCAGACCGGGACTGAGACCGGGACCAGACCAGGACTGAAAACGGTTTAGTTCTGACTCAGACTTGGTTCAGTCCGTACGCATCGCAAAAGTCCGACAGTCACTGAAGTCACGTAAACGGGAAACGACCGTTCTCTGTTTTTCATTTTGGTTTTGGAGACAAATAATGAAGAAAACTGTCTTTTTTTTTTTTTTTTCTGTTTTCTTATTTTTGGTTTTATTTTGAAAAACGAGTGAACGAACGACAAACAGATTGAGACGTTTTACGTAAAGCGCAGTTTGACCTCAGACTCTTCTCTGATTGGTTCTTCCACAGGAGACAGCGGCCAATCAGAACTCTCTGACGGCGGCGCCTCTTTTCCTGCGGTAAGTTTATTTAACTGTTTTGTCCGTTAAAGGTCCATCTCCTGCAAGCTGAACTGTTCAGATCTTTTACCGCCTCAGAGTGATGTGTGGCCTTGGATTTGTTGCTGAAGTGTTTTTTTAGATTGATTTGGCGTCTTTTTTTTTTTTTTACAAATCGCAGTGTATTTCTATCGTCCTCCCACATGACGACAAACTAAAACTGCTCCAACGACGACACAGCAGATTCACCTGAGAAAGTTTGTATTTGTCTGTGATGGTGAGTCTGAGTCTACGTTCAGACTGCAGGGCTTAACGCTCAATTCCGATTTTTTTGTGAAATCCGATGTTTTTTCGAGGTGGTTCACATTTCCAGTTAAATGTGACTTGTATGTGACTCCAGTGTGAACATTAAACGGTCCAAAAGTGTCCCACATGTGACACTGGAGACACGACGACGTCAACCGCAGCGAGCGTCTCTGTGTTTACACAAGTTGTCCAAACATGGACGCAGCATCGAGCACCTGGAGATTTTAAAGTTCCTCTCGTACCGGAGCCACAACATGAACAACTGACTTGTTTTAAGGAGGAGATTGAGAAGGAGAAGGACCAGGTTTTTGGTGGTGGTGTTTTGTGGGACAGAACGTTGAAAGGAACGTGTGGATGTGGAGACGGAGCCAAGAGTGGTGATGTGCTTCACTTCAGTGACATGGAGTTCATGGGTGGGTTTCACGTGACGTCACAGGGCGACGTTTGTCAGCACGCAAAATCAGACGGAGGGCAGGAAGTGAACTGACTGGAGGAAAATGCCGATGTGTTGTGTAGTTTACGGCTGTGCCAATCGTTCTAACCAAGAGAAGGAAAAGCCAATTTTTTTAAGAGTACCGAATATAGGGAAAAGCCGGCAGAACGGCGCCGTAAAAAGTGGATTACAAACCTGTTTGCGGTCGGGAGGAGCAGAATTCGCTAATGCTCGTGTCTGCAGTGAACACTTCGACAAAGGTTTGTTACAAAGATAAATTGTTTTTTTGTAGTTTACCTAAACATAAACGAATCATTAACGACTAACTGCTGACGACGTTTGTTGACATTAAATAGTTCAGATCGAGGTCACTGCCGATACACTGCAGTTTTTCCCATAACGTCTATACACATAAAATAAGAGAAAAACTCACCCCGGCCAAGACCAAACCATAATCATCATTTAGGCGTTTTGCACCGAGGTTGTGGACCCATCCACTGCCAAAAAAAGTTCTATGCCTCCAAACTTTTGTACACCTTCATCTGTTGTCTGGTGTAGAACGATGTCTGAAGAGCTAAATAGTTGGTGATCTCCTCTGCCTCGATTGTCGGCAAATCTTTTACTTCGGTTGAAAATTCTCTCATTTTCAATAAGATCAGGGTCACGCCCAATATATTTGTCGACTAACTGCTCGTACTTTTGCCTCGCTCCTGGCTCTAAATCCTGACAATAACAACTCTTCTCCGTATCTGTGTTCTCCAGAGCCGTGTTTGTTTGTCGTGTTTGTCTTCACTTCCTGCCCTCCACCTGAAATTCGCGCATCATCATGATCACGTGACTGAAACCCTCCTATTAACAATTTTCTCCTACTTCAGCGCAGAATAGTGACGTTTGTGTCTTGTTGATAACGTGTAGGTGGATGAATGCACTTTGACCGTTCACACTGAAGTCACATGTCAAAAGATCAGATATGTATCAGTTTCAGGAGCACATGTCCAAGTGTCCTGGGTCACATTTGAAAAAATCTGATCTGTGTGGTTCAGACTGACATTAAAAGATCAGATACAGAAACATAGAGACAAAAAATCAGATTTGGGTCACTTCAGGCTGCAGACTGAAGGCAGCCTAAATTATTTCTCATGTCGACAGAAGAACCAAGGCATGTGTAACGTAGCCAGTCCGTTACATGGGCCTAGGGCTAATTAAAAGGTGAGGAAATGAGAAACGGAAACAAAGGTTTAAAAATGTTTATTGAAAAATTGAATATATGCAGATTGTGAAGTTACCTGTAAAAGTAAAGGAAATAAGTAAAAGGAATAGTCGAGTTTGAGCTGATGTCATTGTTATTAAAAGCCGGCGTTGCTGCTGGGAAATATTTTGGTCGGAGGCAAGAAACACGGTAGCGTCAAACACAGTGTGTAACCTCGCGTATTTCTCCATGATAATGTTAAACTCCTGCTGCATTATCGGACGCACAAATAGAAGCACGGAAGAAGGAAAATGTCTTTTTCATATTCTGAGTGAAAAGAACCACTAACGGTGAATTAAACGACTTTCAAACATCCGCAGAGCAAACGTAGAAGATCCTAACAAACCGTGGACTCAACAAGTTCAACAACACATCCAGACTCTTGGAGGTTTTCATCTTTTCTGCTGTGAACGGCCCAGGAGTTTCCACCAAGTCATTGTGGATATCGCCCAAGTGAATATTTGTCCAGGTAGTTGGAGATTCTAACCAGAAATTTGGTTTGGTCCAGACTCTGTCGGGGTTGAAAAGGGTGATTTGTCGTCCGTCGATGTTTATGACCAATTTCTGGTCAAATGGTCTTGGGTCGTCTGCCGTTAGAGTGGATAAATAACCGGGATCAATACCCTTTACGTGTTTTCTCACTCCGTCCGTCATGTTGAATTAGTGTTTATTGCCGCCGACCAAAATAATTCCCAGCATGAAACGCACGCTTTGGTCAACAATGAAACTCGACTATAAAAGAAGCCAGCCTCACCTTGTTCAGGGAGAGGTGCTGTGTGAGCGCAGGTGACTGCCATGCCTGTATTTAACCTTTGTGACTTTTGTAAATATTTTTCTATTTTTGTCTGAAATAAATGCTCTGGGATCTGCACTATAAGTCGGCTCAACTTGACTCTGTTCCTCTAAAACTGCTGAGATTGCTATCCAGGAAACTACAGCGTGTGCAGTGTCTGGAGTTTATTTCACACACAAACAAAAAGGTCCACGAATATTTCACCGAAAACGCTTCGAGAACTACGGTTGTTTTAAAACTGGACTCACAACGAAGCAGAAGCGACACTTTGGAAAAGGATGTTGTTCCCACGATACCAGGGTCCAGCGATGGAGATCCTAGAGCTGTAAGTTTACCACCAGTAAACCGCTGAAGAGAACTAAAAACAACTGCAGCGTTTATTTTTGAAGATTATCCACATATCATTGCAATCTGCATCATCTCCTTGTTCTACCTGTTTGAGTTTGACAAACGTGACGTCGTCCTACGATATCACACTGATACTAACAACAGACTCAGGGCATCGTTTTGTTCTAGTGAGTCATCTTCAACGCTTCTGCACGAGAACAAAACGTCGATGACGCCTCAGTCACTACGACCTGATGTTTAGTGTCGCCCGTTCACATGACGACCTCCTCATCTGATCGAACATTATTATTACAGGATTCAAGTTTGTCCAGTTGTGCTTCTGTCTCCCCCTCCCTCCCTGAGACGGTGGAGGAAGGGCGGCTCACTCAGAGTCTACGTCACGTTTGGAGGGCGGAGCCTGTGCTTTCTCAGGACGGGCGGGGGGAGGAGCAATATTCGGACTTTCATAGTTCCTGGAAGATTTCAGAACTATTGTGTAATGGATGTTCCAAAACCCAAACTGTGCAGTAGATACAACGTGAAGAGAGTTATTTTGTGTGAGATCGGCTCTTTAAAAAAAATCCTGGACTGACCCGGCTGAACACACGAGTGTAGAACTTTAAGGGCGATAAAAGATGATTTAAACATCATCTAACAACTCAGTGCAGCTTTGTGAGTGTAAGAGGGAAAACTCCAGAAGAACATGTCCCATTTTGAACATGTCCCTGTTTCTGCTCGTTTTCCGCCCTCAGATTTGCCTGTCAGGCTCAGAGCCGCTCTCAGCAGAACCTCTCAGTCCAAACCCAGGACCAACGAGTCCGAACCACACGGACCGTCACACCCGGGACTGAACTACTGCTGCGACCCAACACAGACCCGGGTAAAACCAGGACTGAACCGGGACTGAACCAGGACTGAACTACTGCTGCGACCCAACACAGACCCGGGACTGGAACCGGGACTTGGACCGGGACTTGGACCGGGACTGGGACTGGGACCGGGACTGGGACCGGGACTGGGACCGGGACTTGGACCGGGACTGGGACCGGGACTGGGACCGGGACTGGGACGGGAAGGCAACCGGGATTGAACCGGGACTGGAACGGGGACTGGAACCGGGACTTGAACCGGGACTGGGACCGGGACGAAACTGGGACGGGAACCGGGATTTGAACTGGGACGGCAACCAGGACTGGAACCGGGACTGGAACCGGGACTGGAACCGGGACTTGAACCGGGACTTGAACCGGGACTGGAACCGGGACTGGAACCGGGACTAAAATCAGGACTAACTGAGACCAAACTGTAACTGAAGCATTTTTTTCTTTGACCTTGTGCACCTTAGCATTTTTGTATTAAAGGAACTGTCTGTAGGTGGCGCTCTTCTGCCACCGTCACACACTTTTTTAGCTGTTTTAAAGCAGACACCGCTCCGTAGACTTTACACGTAAACTCGATGCTCCTGACGCCACAGGCTGAACGCCGCATTACTATTTTAGAAATGTACGACAATCACATGTGATCAGAACCAATTAAAAGAAAATCTGTGGAATATTTGATCAGTTGAATAAAATCTACTGGGTTCACCAAGACTCTTCAGCTCCGTCCTAACGACGTCCATAAAACTCTAACAAAAAAATAAAATAAAAATCTGTTTTTCTCAAATAACTTTGAAAATAATCCATTTAGGGCCGATGAGAGTTGAATATAAATGTTGCTGTTGCATCTTTTGGAACCAAGTTTAAATCTTTGTCTTCATAACTTTCCAAGATATGATCATTTTGTAAAGATTTTGAGTGTTTTTTTCATAATTTTCCAAAATCCACAAAGTCCAAAGATAAAATGAGAAACATAAAGTTTGTTCGGATTCAGGAGGAGCAGTGTGGTTTTCGTCTTGGTCGTGGAACACTGGACCAGCTCTACACTCTCCATCGGTGCTCGAGGTTCA